AGTAATTTTGGGAAGGGGCGAAAATACTGGTTAGCCGATTGGCCTATGTTGGTGATAGACGGGCAAAATAAACCAATCAGATCAACGAAGCATATGGCGTACTAACAGAGCGACGACGAAAACACAACCACAAACCAGGCTACTCTTACTGAAAAGTCGGGGGAAGAGCAAAAACATCTTTTCCTCTGAGAAAAGCCTCCAGAGCAGTGTTTTGCTCTTCTTTCAGTGAAGAAATACTCTGTAATTCCGATAAAACTTGCTCCATAGCCACGCTAACACTAGTTTCATCGGCTGAAGCCGCCATGTTCTTTAGACTCAACTGTCGCGCTTCTCGTTGCGTCACACCTCAACCCGCCTCAAAGCCAACGCTGATTGGACGTTAGTTTGGTGAACGGCTCCAAATTGTCTTTAACTGAGAGTCTCCAGACTGATTAGCGAGTGAAATCTTGAAAGCTTGCGAGATAAGGATGGTCTCACGAGGCTAGGTACCTGCAGGAAGGCCATTAAAACTTTGCCAAGTCTGGTGTCATAATGACTTCCTGTGCTGACCCCCGAACAAGGGAGCAGCCAAAAGGACACAGAAAGAAAGGTTATCTGGTATTTCTTAATTCTGGAGGCTCTAAAAATGTTTTTTTTTTTAATGCCCCTTCGCCTTTTGTGTCTTCTTGTTAAAAGTACATATAATTTGCTGTTGGTTTCTGCTTTCATTCAGTGAAGCTTTCATTGCTTTCTTGGTCAGATGTCAGCTCCTACTCAGTATTTTTTTTGCTACTGCCTTTTTGTCCTCTAATTTCACCCATTTTTCAAGTTTGCACTTTGTCAGCACTCTTCGAAAAACAACATTCCGTCTCTGAAGAATAGAAAAAATGTTCATGAAGTGTAACTCATGATCTGATTTGAACAGAAAGTGTAAATCAACATCAACTTTAAACCCTCACTTATTTATCACTTCTATAGTGTCCCGAAAAAGCAGCAAAACTTCAGACTTAAAAAAGAAAGTTAATTTACCTTCATGAGATTATGTTTGAAGTCATTTTGACATGAGATGGTCATAAACAACTAAAAAAACAAACATGAAAGAGAAATGCACAGATTCAGGTTCAGACGCTGAAACTGCTTCTGATCTTTCTGACAATCCCCATTTGCTGTAGGTTGTGTGATAAAGTTGTGACTTATATTTTACTCATACTCAAAGTTTAGAGTTGGTTAAAAATTCAGATTCACCTGCTCTCTGTACTTAGCTTCACCTGCTCTCTGTACTTAGCTTCATGCCCATTTCTGATGCACCCAATTTCAATAGCATTACATTAACATTACTATGTGCAGTGTTATGAATGGTCCTCAAGTTTTTTTTTTTCAACCTATGATACAAAAGGTTATCTGTTAACTTCAAAAAGAAATTATTATGGCTCTCTGCTTGTCATTCCGTTATAAAAACTATGTTTGTGGAGTCCATATTTGGGTAGTCTTGCAGCTGTGCAATGTTGTGACCAGAGATGGGAAGTAACGAAGTACAAATACTTTGTTACTGTACTCAAGTAGATTTTACTGATATTTAGACTTTACTACTTATTTTTATGGCTACTTTTTACTTCTACTCCTTACATTTTACACAAATATCTGTACTTTCTACTACTTACATTTTAAAAAATTGGCTGGTTACTTTAGTTTTGAATCATTTCAATGGAGTTACCGTTATTATTTTTCACGTCATCAATACCAAATTCAATCTAATTGGATGGGAATCTACGTTGCATTTGACGCACCACTACAAGATGAATCGACAGATTCGGCGGTATTCATTCGCGGCAAATCATTGCAGCTTGGTGGCGGTGGCGTTAGCATATAGTCCTATTGGCAGACATCCATTTAAAATGTAGGCAACGGCATGAAAAAAGTGGTTTCTACTTTTACTTTTATACTTTAAGTAAATTTACAACCCTGTACTTTGTTACTTTTACTTGAGTAAAGAAGTTTAATCAGTACTTTCACTTTTACCAGAATATTTTTTAACACAAGTATTTGTACTTTTACTCAAGTACAGAAAGTGAGTACTTTTGCCATCTCTGGTTGTGACTATTTTCAAATGATTAATCATCCCTCACATGTCCAGCTTTTGCGGTTCTACTCGTTTCCCCAGAGCTTTCTTCTTGACCTCTCTGCTGCGTTTTTTTGGTCTTGCTGCTGCTGCTGCTTGTTCACCAAAGTGTTGTTTTATAACAAACCCCTAAAGTCCTCATGGAAAAGCTTTAGACCTTATCTGTATAATTTATACACAGATGAGCCAAAATCAGATGGCTTCGAAATGCAGTTGGTTGCACCGAACTTTAATTAGGGTTATCAGAGTAAATAGGAGGGCTGGTTTGGGGTATGCATAAGGAATTGTGTAAAATTGGCACAACATTTTATATTTTGTATAGCATTTCTTGATAGATGCATACCACACGTCATTGCTTTTGTACTTATGACAATTAGAATAGAATATAATTGAACTTTATTGCCATTACACTAAACTTTAAGCTTTAAGTTTGTTGCCACAGCCAAAGGAGGGTTGTGGGAGTATGTCTCAATTCTGAGTCCAAGTGCAAAAAATACTGTACTTGACTGAATTCTGATAGTGATTGATATTTCCTTTGTGAATAGCTTCTAAAGAGCAATCTTACTCAGTAATGATTTTTCTTTCTCCTAAGGAGGTGTGTTTTCTGACTAAGAGGCATTCTAATCCAGTAGAGAATTAAAACATCCAAAGCAATCAATCAAAAGCCCAATGGTAGTGAGACAGCCTTATCATGCCTTATACAAGGCCATTCCTCTTTGTTTGAACTTGGGTTAGTTCATAAAGGCAACCTGACATCGGTACACTGGGCATTGTGGATAGAGCTAATGGCTCATTTTATTGATTGCCTGTGGTGTAATCTGTCCATCAAGGTTTTCACAGCTGTAGCAAAAAGCCCTATAGGGTCATTTCCAGCCATCTGCCATTCCCAACACCCCCAGAGCATCCTGTATTTATTGACACACTCTTTAAAATAATCTTTGAGCAGGAATAGGAGAATGGTGGAGGAAAAATGGAAAGGTTGCAACTTTAGATAGTCAAAAGTAGCTCAACGTAAATACATACATTGTATGTTTTCATTACACTGAATGAATACAAATTCCTTTAACCGATTTAAACATAAAATAGCTGCTAGCTTTTAATCTCACTGAGTGCTATTTTGTGTAAACATCCTGTCAGCCGACACTGCATCAGTGAGCCAAGATTTATGTTATGTACACTACTCAGATTTTCTTTTGCATCCTTGGGCTGCATCCTATCCAATCCACAACACATGACAGGCAAGATTTATCAGTGATTGATATGAGGAAATAATTTTTTTTATATGAAAATACCACAATATTTTATAGTTATTTATAATAAGATAAAATGCATGCTTTAACTTAGACTATTTATCTAGCTTTAAGAATATTCTACTAAGTAGTTGAATTATCCTCATAAAGACTAACTGCTTGGCTTCTTTCACAAACAAGGAAATGTAACCAAAATCCAACTTTTTGCCCAAATATTTACACCTAAAAGAAAGGGAATTTAAGCAACTTCTATACATGATACTAAATCTGATATGCATCTAACTGATTTCAAAGCGTCTGCAGTGTGAACAGTGATATTACACAGACTTCACAACAGCAGTAGTAATGACTGCTCCATAAAAGGCTACAATTAAGGGCTGCACTCTTATCATATCTTTCTTTATCTTGTCATAATATTATTGGCTTCCATTGCTCAGCATTTTAATAATATAGACCTGGCATCCACTATTACTTTTTTTTTCTTATTAAGCTTTATGAGATTTTCTAGTAAGAGTCAGATCCATTAATTACCTCCATGAATAGTGACGATTTGTGATGATTTATCATATTATATTGTTTTTTTCCAACCCCCAATCAGAACTGCTCACCATGCAATATAGGCTATTGTTTTTCAAACTACTTATAAGAATAATTCAATTCAGTTTATATATATAGTGCCAATTCACAATAATTGTTACCTGTTATAGAAAAAATTGAAATACTCAAGTTGTAGTCATGATTTCTAAAGACTTCTATGTATAAAAGTGTTTTCAACTCAACTCAACTCAACTCAACTTTATTGTCAAATGTGCTACATGGTAAACATGCAACACAGATGAAATTTCAGTCCTCTCAACCCCACGGTGCATAATAAAATATAAAATATAATGAACCATAGCATAAAATAAAAACCTAAGATATAAAAATAAATATTAAAATATTTAAATATGCAAACAGTATGTTTATGTCAGGGTCCTAAATTTAAGTGTTAAATAACTCAATAAAATGTTTTTTTTTCTTTATAATTTTAATAGAAAAATAACAATATATTTGATATTTTCATTTGGCAAAACCAAATCCTGATGGAGAAACACATTTGCTTCTAATTATTTACACACATTAACACATATTTCAATCAAAAAAAGTGTTTCAATGACCGAAACCTTAAAAACCAAGCATTTATATTTTTATTTTGATGTTTTGTGTTTTTGTTCAATACTCTATTGACTGTTGCAGCCACTTTTCCATGGATCAACACCATATTTTATGTAACAGTGCGCTTTGACTCCACAGGCTTATGGAGCATGTTGTTGTGTTTGCTCCCTCCTGCTGAATATCTGCCCTCTCTGTTGGCATTTGGATCAGTGTCACTCATTGTCTCACTTTTCCCTCTGTTTATCTGTGTCTCTTTTCTGCCAGGTCTTTCTTGCTGGTCCCCATGGACGTCCCTGTGTACTTGAGCTTTTAACTGGCCTTTTTTTCTCACTGTATTTCACCTTCTCATCCTGCATCTCACATTTTCTCTCCGGTGTCTCGGGGAGTGCCAGGTGGGGCGTCCCTGGGGTGACCTTGGGGGGGTAATGAGCTCCTGATAACAAGTCAGGAAACACATAGTTTAACACCCCACCCCATTACCCTCCCCTCAACCCATGCAATACTAACTGAGAAGAAAAAAAGCCTAGACAGCGATCAAGCGCTCAGCCCACAAAGAGAAATAGTGTTGGAGAGACAGGACAGCAGGACAGAGGTGCAGATCAAAAGAGTCTTAAAGAAACTATTGCTTTTAACCCTGACATACAACTACCAGACCTCCAGAGCAAAGTAAGTGAATTTTGTCTTTCTCTTAGATGCTCATGTACTGACACCATGTTTACTTTTTATCACTGCTGCACTTTAAGAAATGGAGCTGTACTGAATGAAATTTTGTTTTGTATACACTCTGTGTGTACAAAATGACAATAAGTTTGTCTAAATCGAAGACACATTGTGTTTTATAGGAATGATGGGCAGGTGAGATAGTTATTTGACCTGATCCTGAAGCAGAAAAGTTGCAGCAACAACATTTTGTGCAAGTCTTGGTTTCAAGGCTTTCCATCTCTACCTTGGGACCCAAACTTTGAGATTTTCCATTTTCTGACTCGGTCCTCATTTATTTATTACACATTGTTTGCCTTTTGGACAACGATACAGACATGCTAGTAATTGTTTTTTCTGTTAGTTAATGTTAAGCATAATTTTCCCTTGAAGCTGTTGATACAAGATAATAAAACATAAAAAAACTAAAAGTTTATTAAGCTTAAACAAATTATGGTCACAGATGGAGAATGGCTTGTAGACAAACCGCGTAAACAATTGTAAAGAGCTAATAATCCAGACGCCATGGGCTACAGAGTGTTTTGCTAAATCACCAACCGGCCCTTTTTCTCAGTGATTAGACTTCAAACATCCATATGCTTGTTTATTATTGCTATCAGCCAAAAAATTTGCAAACTCAATTAAGTCAGCTTGTGCATGTAAGCTGGTAGATGTACTCCACTTTCATTTTCCCAGGATATTTTAATTTGGGTCAGGCCTGACTAGAATGACAAAACTTTCTCTTCTGAACTGCATCAGTGCCATGTGATCCTGCAGACCTTCTGCTTGCGTTGCCATGGCGTTATTCAGAGCCCGGTAAAGCAACCCAAGTCAGACCCACGAGTTTCCTCTCTGTCTTATGAGCATTCTTTCAGTGGACAAAAGCTCTCTCCAGTTCATTCTTACTTAAAATGAAGTGCTTGTTTATTTAGATTCAACACATGGTGTGGTCCTAAAGAAAGGCCCGACAGAGATTACACATGAAGTGGAGATGAGCTTGAGAAATCTGCTTTGGTCCACAGGAAGTTGGAGCACAATGTGGATTAAGCTGGATGACAACCAACAGGGGTCGACTTTATAGAACTTCTTCTTTACAAAGCGGGTTCTAGTATTTTTCTTCTAGGATGGTCTCTTAGAGCTCTTAAGTGTCATCTTACACATTCTTGTCATTTCTGTTGTTGCCCCACATACTTTACAATATGATAAGCACAAAGCTGGTTCATTTCCTTCTGTGTTCTCACAGCCTCTTTCAGAATGCTCTCTGTGGAGGAGCTGAAGCAATAAGGCATAGAATTGCGCTGTTAGGGGCCAGAAAAGTCCACTCCAGGGGGGAGGGAAGCTCTGTGAAAGGAGCCAGTTCTTGTCTATAGGGCATAAGTAAGTGAACAAGAGAGAGGAAGAAGGGTATGGGGGCTTCAGACATACACAAAGGTCCTCACATTGAAGGACAGGTTCATTTTTTGTGGGGTAAGCAATGACAATTCACATGCAAGATAAAGAAAATGGGCCTTGCGGGGTCTAGAGGGCCTCCACAGAAAAGGAGGATGGGATAAATAGAGAAATCGAAGAAAGGGGGAGGAGAAGGAACCAAAAGGATTGGCCTGTCAATTAACTATCCGTCTAACTTCCACTTCCCAAAGACATGCTTCAGAAATGACAGAGAGCAGAGCAGGAAAATCAAGCTGTGTGAACTTTGGCGATACATGTCAGCTGCTACCCTATTCATTTCCCTTTATTAAAAATAAAAGATCATTTTCCATCTGTTAAAGGTTAGATAAAAAAAATATGTTTGAGTAAGAAGCCTAAGCGTTGTTATACTGTATAAATCAAGCAGCTGATTCATTTCTCTCAAATGTGAGACAAAGAACCATAAATATTGTTTCGTTTTAGTTTCCCACTGTCTAAAGATTTTCCCAATGTCTTTTTTATTAAAGATTATTTTCTTTATTTAATTAAATTTAAGTATCGAAGTGTTTTCTTACTACCGCATCTCTAAGATTTTTTTTTGTCTGAAATATTTGTAGACTTTTCACTTTTCAAACCTGCTTCCATATGAAAAGCTGAAGTGTTCAACTATTTGTGTTCTGGCTATCTGGATGCAATAAGACAACCTCCGCTTTATCCACAGCATGGATTAACAACTATGTGTAATCAACCTTAACCAGCTCCAATTGAGCTAACCCCTCTTTCTTCCAGTTTGTTCTCCTGTATTTGCTTGGGGGTGCTTTTTTCCCTGTCATGTTTTCTTTCCTCTGTAATGAGTCAGCTCATTAGTGGCTCTTTCTGCTGCTTCGAACCTGAACACTTGCCCAAATCCAGACAAAGACTTCCCAGACTTCCCAAAAAAGTAACAGAAAGAACATAGAGCAAAGGTCTGATGGGTGGATGTAGCCTCTGTGCCCACTAAGGAATTGAACATCTAGCTGCAGTGTAATATTTAATTGAACTCATTTGATTGTATTTTTTTCATTTAGTCACATTAGGACCAAACAAATTCATCACAACTTGTACTTTTAATTTCCAGTTGTGATTTTTAAATTAAATCCCTTTTGTTGAGGTCATAAACATCTTACATTCTGGGAAAGTGGATCATTAGTTATTGGAGTAGTGAAATTAAAGGTGAAATGAAAAGTTTTACATTATTATAAGTATGCTCAAGAGAGATCAGTGGACAGTATTCAAGTATTTTGTAAATAGGGACTGAATTTATTGGCTCACCAAGCTTTTCCCTGATACGTCTTTCACTCTGTTTTTGGTTCTTTTTTTGTGCACTGTTTTGCCAATATAACTCTGGGAATAGATGTCCCAGAGCTGTATGATAGCCCAACAGATTTGCTTTCACAAGCAGATTATTTTGACTGTTGCCGTAAGGTTCTGCTTGATACATGTATATAAACCTTTATCGAAATAATTTAGGGAGTAAGAACATATACAACAGACACAAAGACAGAAATGGAGGTGAGAAAGAAAGAAGGGATACAGACTAATGGGAAAGGCAAAGGTTCTCTGGTCTCCACACCTGTATGAGACCAGAGAAAAAGAACAGAGCATAACAACAGCAAAACGAGGACAACAGACAAACAAAGTAATCATCAAAAAAGATAAAACCTATGGTGGTTACATATAAAATATCATTCATTCGAGTATATGTCTGTAGCTGTGTCTTAGTAGCCAGGCATTAGTGTGTATCCACGGCCACCTAGAACCAAACTCCTGTGGTATGTTTGCATGGGCATGGGCGTGTATAAATGATTTACAAAGCTTGTTCAGAATAGCAGGTTTCGGCAGACTTAGCCTCACCCTACAGGTCCAGAGCCAGAGATATCCAAAGGCATCCCAGATCAGTGGGACACAAGGAGCGCAGAAATGGGGATGGCTGCACTCAAGGCCAAACCCCAGAGAAGCCCAGTCTCTGAGGGCCCCGTGCCCAGAGGCCATAATGCTTAGGTTCCACTCTGCCAAGGCAACAAGCCAATGGGATCCATGGATGGACGGTCACGCTCCCCAAGGAGGAAGTGGATAAGAGCTCAAAGGTCAGAGGCTTGGGGACACACCAGCACCTAGTGGGGACCGCACAGGGCCTGAAGGCCTTGGCCCGGCCGGGCAGCATCCAGGAATGAGACAGCGCCCACCGTAATACCCAGACCTTCACCTAGAGAACTAACAGCGTGCTAGGAGACACAGGCACCTCTTATTGATTGGGAGGATATAGAGCAGGAGGAGGCAAAACAAGCTGTGCTATTAAGAGTAAACCAATAGTGCAGATGCAACAGAGAAACAACCATACAGATGTAACAAAAATCAGCCAAGCACGGCAAATGGAGAGGTATTTAAACATTGCCTCTCTGTTTTCCTACTGACCTCCGCAGCAGGTCAGTAGGAAATAATCAGTCCAAGCGAATAGCAGGAGACAGAAGCCAGGTACAAAAAGTGAGTCTGTGATCGGAAACCAGAGGCTGATAGATTCATCAGGAGCAAGGCAAGGAAGGGCCATCCAAGAACAAGGGGAACGCTTGACCTTTCACTTAACGAGGGCTTTCAAATAATCTGGCCGAGTTTGTCTGCCAGAGAGCTTTATTTGGGGGGCAGAACAGCTGCTTTGAATGAGCTAAGTGCAACTGCTGCCAGCAGAGGCCCAGGTGGAGCTGATGAACTTGATTGCAGAAGAGCAGTGGGACAGAATCTTGACAACAGAAGATTTGTTCGTTATGTTTTATATTCCAACTCTTTCTAGTAGATTCTGAACAGTTTCAACAACTTCCCTGCTTAACAAAATAGTGCGTAATTATGTCATAAATAGCTGATACTGGTGTAGGGTACAAGAGTTTGTCCTGCAATCATAGAGTTGCAGGTTTAAACCTCAGTGCTGCCCATTTCTGTTATTGTGTCTTCGGGCAAGACACACATTGCCTCCTGATGGTGGTCAGAGGGCCAAGTGCCACCTGTGTATTGCAGCCTTGTTTCTGTCAATGTCCCTCAGGGCAGCTGTGGTTATAGTTTAGGTTGCCATCAGTATGTGAAAGTGTGCATGAATAACTAAATGTATTATAAAGCACTTGGGAGTCCCCTGACTTGGAAGGTGTTAAATAAGTCAATTTACCGTAATTGACTCTTGGCATATTTATTAGACCATGTTTTCCTGATTATACTCGGGGAATTTTTACCTGGATATAACTCAAAGATGTATTTTATTCCTTCTAGCCACACTTACAATCTTTACAACACAAGTGAATAACACAGCACTGTGGATAGAGGTAATAAAGTAGTCTAAACTGTTCAAGATACCAATCTTGCAGTGTGAAAATACATTTAAAAAAGCTGGATTCAAAGAAGAATACAAACCAATTGGAATAGTCATTATAATGAGAAATGTTTGATCTTTTCTCTTTGAATGCATCTCTTGATAAAATAACACACATACTTTAACCTGGAAGGATCCAGTTTTCATTTTTACACAACCCTGCTGA